CTATCAACAATAGTCAAAGTATGGAAAGAGCCCAAATGTCCATCGATGGATGAATGGATAAAGAAGATGTGGTATGTATACACAATGGAGTATTACTCGGCAATCAAAAAGAATGAAATCTTGCCATTTGCAACTACATGGATGGAACTGGAGGGGATTATGCTAAGTGAAATTAGTCAGAGAAAGACAAAAATCATATGACTTCACTCATATGAGGACTTTAAGAGACAAAACAGATTAACATAAGGGAAGGGAAACAAAAATAATATAAAAACAGGGAGGGGGACAAAACAGAAGAGACTCATAAATATGGAGAAAAAACAGGGTTACTGGAGGGGTTGTAGGAGGGGGGATGAGCTAAATGGGTGAGGGGCACTAAGGCATCTGCTCCTGAAATCACTGTTGCACTATATCCTAACCAATTTGGATGTAAATTTAAAAAAATAAATAAAATTTTAAAAAAAGAGGTTGCCATAGAGACAAAGACAAACCCTGACTCTTCCCCCACACACTCTGTAGTGGAAATTGGAGCCCTTCTTTCTTACAAATGGCTCTGCTGGTTGTTTCTGAGTTCACAATTAATTATAACTGTTACAATGTCAGGGTATTCTGTATCCAAGTACATTTGCTCACAAGGATGTCAATGTAGGTCTCAACATCAATAAATGCTGTCTTCCAGGAACTGTTATAAGTGGTTTTATTTTTTATGTTCACAACAGTCCTACGGAGTAAGTACTATTACTATTTCCATTTTGCAGAGAAGGAAGTAGAAATACAGAGCTAAGTGGTCAAGCCCAAGTTGGACTGCAGAGCCCAAACCTTCAGCCAACATACCACGTGCTTCCTGGGTCTGCTACAACCTCCAGCTCCTCTTGCATGAAACTTGCATGTATAGGGGCACCTGGGTGGCGCAGTCGGTTAAGTGGCCGACTTCAGCCAGGTCACGATCTCGCGGTCTGTGAGTTCGAGCCCCGCGTCAGGCTCTGGGCTGATGGCTCAGAGCCTGGAGCCTGTTTCCGATTCTGTGTCTCCCTCTCTCTCTGCCCCTCCCCCATTCATGCTCTGTCTCTCTCTGTCCCAAAAATAAATAAACGTGGAAAAAAAAAATTAAAAAAAAAAAAA